AATAAGAACTTGTTTTTTTTTTTTTTTTTTTTTTTTTTAAATAACAGTTCTGATTATCCAGCTTTTTTTTTCTTCTCTTTTTTTTTTTTTTTTGGTTATTTAATCAAATCCTGAGATTGATGTTGAATACTTTAGGAGACATTTTGTTCGGATAGATTGTATTTTGCAGCACTATTGTCAAACTAAGCGTTTGTAGCTCTCCCGGTGGTGATGGGTAATTTTACTTATTTTATGTCACGAGGTTAAGCTTTGTTTTAATTTTACATCTTATACTGAGTGCGTTCTTGGCGATATTAGTATGAGAGTTTGCTTAATTTGATAAACAGATGGAAGCGCATTGAAAGGAAAAATGAATTTGGACAAAACACTTCGTTTAAAGCTAGTACTCTACTTTAACTAGACTGTTCCAAAATGTGTCAATTCGGCGATGAGTGACACTTTTTTTTTTTACTTTGCTTTATCTGAAGAGTCAGTTTTATAAAAAGTCAATCGCATTTCCTAATTAATTTGTCGAGTACACTGGTTGAGTGTCGCTCTAGAATGTTTACCTGTCAAGATTAATAGGATTCTTTAATATCTCATAGCAGATGTTATATATTACGAGATATAACATACTGTGAGGATAAAGGATTATCTATAGCGTTGCCCTCAATGGAGAAACATCGATTTTTGTCTTAGGAATTTCATTCTTGATAAAGTTAACGAGTGCATTTATCGAGCCTTATTAAATAAAATTTTTAATTATCATCATATGTATAAAGATGTAACTTCATTAGGTTAAAAGCCTTGTCGCTTCGAATTCAAACGATTCAATAATTAAATGTCAAAATTAAGTGAATGAATACATTATAGTAATACTTCGACAACCTCTCAGTAGTTTTGTCGAAAGTCTGCCAAGTTTGATGTCATATCATCCCTACATATTAGAAATCAGATCCTCACTATACAACCTCAAGTCTGTTACATTTGGTTTTCACTTTCACACTGCGTACCCAGTCAAAGGGGCATTCTTGGCAACACCACTGCAGATAAAACTGAATCTTCCAAATCATCTCATTTCAACGAACGTGCCGTGATTCCTGAAGATCTAAGGACAATCGACAAAAACCATTCAATTCTTTCTTTCTTTCTTTCTTTCTTTCTTTCTTTCGTTCTCAACTTTTGGTCGCCATTTATACTCTTTAGAGAAGTAAAGTTGCAAGAGATAGCTGGTATCGTAACAAGGTCAAAATAGAATTTATTCATTAGTTTGCATAAGCATTTGGACACGACAAAGCTGTTCGATAAACGAATACCTTTTTTATTCACAGCAGAACAAACAAAATGGCAAAGTTAAACGAATTAAAGATCCACTGGCTACCCTGTCTGAACGTACTCTCCGCATCGGGCCCTTAGCATTTATTATTTGTTTGCCAATCGCGACAGAAGGTTCCAGGAACGTCAGCCAACGTGTACCTTAAGGTCCTTCTTAATTGAATTCGTTTTATCGAAATGTTAGATAAGCATTCGATTGATTGTATGACCCACGACGCGGAATATGTTGCTCTCTCTCTCTCTCTCTCTCAAGGCGAAATGAAGAGGTGGAATTAATGATCGATGGTTTTTATTATATATTACTCGTCAGCTATGCATTATCGAGTGAGAGCTCCCAACTGTTATTGTGTGAATTCCCCCTACTATGGAATGAGAAAGCTTTCGGTTGGAAAATTGCTGTCGAGCAACATGTGTAAACTATGGCCGCGTTTATTCGATATCGAGAACTATAAAGTGGGCTCAAAACCGTGAAGATATTACTTATTCGTGGAAAAGTTATCCGGAAGCATTGTAAAAAAGATTACTTACTCATCAAAATATATTTGCTCGCCTCTAAGCAGATCCCATCAGGTATATATTTTTACTTGAACTGAAAAAAAATAAACCCATTGGAAAGCCTTTTCTTTCGAAGGAAGCTATAACTACGCCCTATGCTTGCATTCAAAATGTGTTTAAGTTCCCTATCTAAACTTTAGTCACTCTAGAATCCTTATGGTAACGAAATTACAACATTATTCGAACTCCTAAGCACTCAAACCATCTATGCCCCATATATGTAGAATTTTTCAAAATATCGTGAGTGGATATATATAAAGTAGAATAACTTTGTGTTATTAGCATTGAAACAAAAAAATTCTTACAATCTGTCAAAATTTTAAATACACTTGAGCAGACACGAAATAATACAGATAAAAATGAAACGATTGCCAAGTTTTTGGATTTTTCTTAAGAAAAAATAAACATTTTTCTTTATTTCTACTCTCTTTACTTTTTAGTTTCCGCAAACAAAACTTTATGGTTCCGTTATATTAAATATGTTGCCAAGAAGTTTATGCAACCGAGACGCGTTGACAATTGAGTATCCCAAGCAGAGACCAAAAACGGATAGAATTTAATATACGTACAAGTTTATGAAATATTATATTTAATGTTAGTTTTATTGTTTGCAAACGTTGCGATGTTATATAGACGTCAGACGCAAATCGATTTAATAAAGTCTTAAAAGTGTTACTTATGAACATGGATTGCTCGCAGAAGAGAATTGTATGATACATATTTTGAAAATGTCTTTTACCGAAGTGACGAATTATATTCGACATTCTACTTTCTGTCAGTTGAAAGAGCGAAAAATAAAATTAGAAACGGAGATAAGAATAAATTAACAAAAAATCTTCAGAGAATCAACAAAACTTGAATATTTTAAATTATTCCAAATATCTGAACTGAAAGCAATCTTTCGCTTCCGAGATGAAGGCGTTATTAATTTAATATGTAACTTAGTGCATTTTATATAGAAAACCAATAATTAAAAAAAAAATCTTAATTTAGCGACCAAAAGAGATGTTTTTCTATCGAGTCTTAAAGATATGTTCTTGCAGTACAAGAATACATATCGCAAACTGTGCACATGGCCATCTATCACTTTAATGCATCCTTACTTGCCGAAGAAAGCGTACTGAGTTTAACAGAGAAAATTTTCCCGGATAGAAACTCTTTCAACTTCACTATTTGAGCCATGTCCTGAATATTAAAACCAAACATCATTTCGATTTGAATTGATTCATAATCATAGGTAACTTTTCCGGCAACACGACCACTCCGCAATTGTAAATCTTCAATAGCTTGCAATAAAAGTATATTTATGATATCTGAATTTCTCAGCATTGTTCTCCAACGTGTTTACAAGCTCGAAAGGGAGCACGGTACTATAGTATCTTATTAAAAGGTGCAGGGTAAGATGGAACAAATTAGTCAATAATTTCGTAGGATGGCTTATAGATGTCGCCATCATTGACTAATCCACATTTTGTTTCCAATGACGCTATTATTGTTTTTATAAACCAATGACAGATTGCGAATTTCAAGTGTAGCGTCATTAAAACAACTGCGACCTGCAAGCTAAGGGTCGAAATGGTGCTAAATAATCATCTTACGCTTATATGTTACCCTACGAACTTATTTAGTGGCGTCTTATATAGAGCTTCGATCGTTTTCTTTTAAATCGCATGGTACAACATGGAAGTACATCCTGTTACCTCCCGACCGTGTAA